GTTTATCATGCCCCTTGCACTACACAACATCAAAGGCTACTGATGTTTCAGAATCAGAAGTGGACTTCTAACCACTTTCAGTTTTTGGCTTTGCTACTCTGTGGTGCCCCTCAGGAAATCTGAATATTCTGGCCCTCGAACCTAATATATCTGCCCACTTCTTATTTTTGGCTTACATTCTAAATCTAAATCAAGCCAGTATGTCAATTTAAAACACATTTTTGAAAAAACTTTTCAAGCTCTCTTTAAAAAGAATGCTTCCAAGAGATGAGTCACGGCTGGTGATATATATTCCTCCTCTCCATGTAACCTGCTTGAATTTTTCTCTTCCTTGTCCTAAAAAAAACAAAACAGAAGGCATGTTGTGGGTCTGATAAGGCATGTTCTGGGAAACTCACACTGGCATGTAGAACCTGAAGCCACAATCCTGACTCCCATGCTTTTTTTCTTTCTCCTCATTTTTGGCCTTTACTTATCTGAATCAAACCTCAAGGTCTCTATTGCAATGAGTAGCCACTTTTGCAACAGATAGACAAGCCACACATGGAGTCACAACCCCTTATTGTCCAAATAGACAACAGCAGCCAGTGGGTGAGAGGTGAAAGGGAGGCACATAGGCTTGTGCAAAGTTGCACTGCAGCTTGGCAGACAGAAATAGAATAAATATCCCAGGAGGAATGCCCTACAGACTCCTGCCCTATGTACTGGAAGGGGGCTGTCTCATCATCCTGAAAGCTGCCTAGAAATCAGCTATACTAAAATGGGTTGCTTGCCTTTCACCTGAAAAAATGAGTCAAGAGGTGAGAAAGGAGTCAAGAAATCTGTTTAGGGGTGGCTAGTCTCCACTTTTACAAGGAACTGGCATAGTAGTTAGAGTGCTACACTAGGACCGCGGACACCTTGACCCAAGTTCCAAGTAAAGCTCCCTAAGACCCCATCCACACTTATAGTTTAAGACAGTTTCAAACTGGTATTGAAGAAAGTGGTTTTGCTGTGCAGATTATTACAAAGGAAATCCTGGAAACAGTTTGAGGCCCAGATGGTGATGACAGAAACTACAGAGCATTGGTGCACATTCAGGGCTTTCTTTAGCATACTTTTATGGGAGTTTTTTCTGTATCCACTTGAATTTGAAGCTAGCTTCGCACTGCATTAAATGGTTAGTGTGGATGAGGCCTGTGTGATCTTGGAGCAGGTCATCTGCCTCACTTCAGGCAAGTTCTCCATTTTCAATCAGATGTCGCTGGACCTCCTCCTCTTTTTGGTTACCTTCTCTATATTACATTTCTAAGTAATAGATGGCTGCCTTGTATGTAATATTTCATTTGTAATTTGCATCCTTAACAGAGCTCATCTTGATATAAATTGAGTCTTTTTGTCTTCATGGTCATTAAGTATGATAGACTGAAAGATTCCTCTGCTAGCTTCACAAATCAACAGTCTTGGGAAGTGAGACTTGGGACTTCTGTACCTTGGGAAGTCAAACTTGGCCACAGTGGTCCACACTCTTGTTACATCTCGAATAGATTACTGCAACGCACTCTACAAAGACTATTTGGAAGCTACAAATGGTCCAATGAGCAGCAGCCAGATTGCTCACTGGAGCGGCCTACAGAGAGCACACAACCCCCGTTATACCAGCTCCACTGGCTGCCAATCTACTACCGGGCACAATTCAAAGTGTTGGCTTTAGCCTATAAAGCCCTAAACGGTTTCGGTCCAGCTTACCTGTCTGAATGTGTCTCCCTCTATGACCCACCTTGGAAGTTAAGATCATCTGGGGAGGCCCTGCTCTTGATCTCACCACCTTTGCAAACCCAATTGGTGGGGACGAGAGACAGGCCCTTCTCAATGTTGGCCCCTCATCTATGGAACTCCTTCACCAATGAAATCAAGTGAGCTCCCACCCTCCTGTCTTCCAGGAAGACGCTTAGGACATAGCTGTGGGACCAAGCATTCAACCAGTAAATAGTGCAATAAGGATAACGGACTAATGGAATTGACAATTGGACAGGCTTGGACTGCGATCTGGATTATGTGATTTTAATTGATGTTTTAATAATGTTTAATTGTATGTTTTTAATTGTATTTGTTTATTTTTGTATTTATATGTATTAACATCAAATCGCTGCCAGCTGTAAGGCCACCCTGAGACCCCTTTTTGGGTGAGAAGGGTGGGATACAAATGTTGTTGCTGTTTATTCGTTCAGTTGCTTCCAACTCTTTGTGACCTCCTGGACCAGCCCACGCCAGAGCTTCCTGTCGGCCGTCACCACCCCCAGCTCCTTCAGACTCAAGGCAGTCACTTCAAGGATACCATTAATCCATGTTGCCCTTGGTCGACCCCTCTTCTTTTACCTTCCATTTTTCCCAGCATCATTGTCTTCTCTATGCTTTCCTGTCTTCTCATGATGTGGCCAAAGTACTTCATCTTTGCCTCGAATATCCTTCCCTCCAATGAGCAGTCGGACTTTATTTGCTGGAGTATGGACTGATTGGATCTTCTCATGGTCCAAGGCATTTTCCTTCAGCGCCACAGTTCAAAAGCGTCTATCTTTGGAACATGCAACATATAATTGTCTTTCTTTAGGGGCCCCTTTCAAATCTATACTATATCTGTATGTGTGTGAATCACATCTTTCTATCTATGGCTGGATGGCTCTTTGTCAGGAGGACTTTGATTACATTTTCTTGCCCTGGTGAAGTGTGTTAGACTGGATGGCCTCAAATATTTTCTGTTGGTCATGGGGGTTCTGTGTGGGAAGTTTGGCCCAATTCTGTCATTTGTGGGGTACAGAATGCTCCTTGATTGTAGGTGAACTATAAATCCCAGTAACTACAAATCCCAAATGTCAAGGTCTGTTTCTCCCAAACTCTACCAGTGTTCACATTTGGGCATATGGAAATGGTCCATATCCATCATTGGTCCAGATCCATCATTGTCTGAGTCCATGGTGTTCTCTGGATATAGGTCAACTACAGCTCTCAAACTCAAGGTCAATGCCCACCAAACCTTTCCAGTATTTTCTGTTGGTCATGGGAGTTCTGTGTGCCGAGTCTGGTTCAATTTCATTGTTGGTGGAGTTCAGAATGTTCTTTGATTGTGGGTGAACTATAAATCCCAGGAACTATAACTCCCAAATAACAAAATCAATTTTTTGAGTGATGGTCACTCCTTGGGTTAGCAGGTGCCTTGTGGCCAAATTTGGCGGCAATTCGTCCGGTGGTTTTTGAGTTATGTTAATCCCACAAATGAACATTACATTTTTATTTATACACTAGCCGTCCCCTGCCATGCTTTGCTGTGGCCCAGTCTGTGTATGTGTTTTGTGTGTTTATGTATATATTTGTGTATATGTGTGTTTGCGTATATATATGAGGTTTTGCGCAAACGTTGTAATGTATTTTTGTTTTTTGGCTTTTAAAGTCTTTTCTGCTGTGATCTTTGGTGTTTTTATGAGTGATGGTGACTTGTTGGCCTGATAGGTGTATTATGTCCAAATTTGGTGTCAATTTGTCCGGTGGTTTTTGTGTTATGTTAATCCCACAAAGTATCATCACATTTTTATTTATATATACTAGCCATCCCCTGCCACGCATTGCTGTGGCCCACATGGGGGTTCTGTGTGGGAGGTTTGGACCAATTCTATCGTTGGTGGGATTCAGAATGCTCTGTGATTGTAGGTAAACTATAAATCCCAGCAACTACAACTCCCAAATGTCAAGATTCTATTTTACCCAAACTCCACCAATGTTTACATTTGGGCATATTGAGTATTCATGTAGAGTTTGGTCCAGATCCATCATTGTTTGAGTCCACAGTGATCTCTGAATGTAGGTGAACTACAACTCCAAAACCAAAGGACACTGCCCACCAAACCCTTCCAGTATTTTCTGATGGTCACTGGAAAACTTTGGCCCAATTCTATCATTGGTGGGCTTCAGAATGCGCTTTGATTTTTGGTGAAATATAAATCCCAGCAACTACAACTCCCAAATGACAAAATTCAATTTTTTGAGTGAAGTACATACATTGCATTGTTAGGTGTCTTGTGTCCAAATTTGGTGTCCATTTGTCTAGTGGTTTTTGAGTTCTGTTAATCCCACAAACGAACATTACATTTTCATTTATATAGATATATATCATATTATATATTATTTCACATATTGCAAATATGTGAAATAAATAAATAACTGAATCCAACCTTTGCTCTGCCAAACTGAACTTTCGACACATTATACTCTAATTCATTGGCATGACTTGATAGGATTTGGAGAGCCACCTGAATTCTAAAAATCTTCCTTACCTTGTGGAAGGCCCAAGTTTGCCCGTGCCTGAATACCCTGTAGAATTAATATATCTTGACACTACTTTAACTGCATTTTAGATTTGATTTTAGATTCTTTAAAGTTTGAAGAGACCTCAAGGGCCATCCAGTCCAACCCCCTGCCAAGAAGCAGGAAAATCAAATTCAAAGCACCCCCGACAGATGGCTGGATGCTCTGGAATAATGGGAGTTGTACTTTGGTGAGGCACCAGTACTCTTTGGCAGAGGAGGCTAAAGGCAAAAGAAAGTGGTGTCAAGCTGCATTAGCAAGTTTTTGATGGGCAGAATGACAGGCAGCTGAAACTCTGGAAGGAGGCACAGGTTGGCCCCCGCCTGCTCCCAGCCCTCCTTGACCCCTCAACCCTTGGCGAGCGGAGGACGCGTCCACGACGCCTGCTACGTGACTGTCGCCTTCCCGCACACAAACACCCCTCCCCTTGGGAGAGACGAGGCACGCTATTGATGAATGGAGAAGGGTCTCCAAGCCCCAGAGCTCTCCAAGAGCCCGGCGGCCAATGGGCGGCTGCGTGTCTACGGCGTGCTCGGCGCATGGGGCAGGCCCATTGGTCAGCCCCCCGACTCTCCCCCCCCCCCGCGTCCCCGGGTCCAGAGGCAAGGTCGCGCGGGCTCTGGCGAAGGAGGCGGGACTTCTGGCCACGGCGCGCGCCTATAAAYAGGCCAAGGGTCTGCTTTGCTTTCCAACGCAGGGCGCTGCTGAGCCAAGCRGACTTCTTCCTTGGAGAAGCTTGGAAGGAAAACGCTCGCTCCAAAGCCCCCGATTCAGGCAYGCAGGCGGACGGACTGTGGCTCTTTGGTACGTACTATTCTGTAGCCATCAGTGGGAGCAATTGGCAGAATTTAGATCCGGTGATGCTCACTGTTTTGGACAGAGTATGCTTTTAGTAGAAAGGCTTTGGTTAAACTCAGGCTTTGCAAGGGAGGCTTGCACGATTGATTGCAGTTGGAGCTCACTTTTAACTGCTACTTGGCTCAACGCTATGGAATCATGGGAGTTGTAGTTTGGTGAAGTGGCAGAGAAGGCTGAAAATGTATTTCTGCAACTCTCATAAGCACTGAGGCATGGCAGCTAAAGGGGCGTCAAACTACATTCATTTTGCAGTTTAGATTCACTCTTTTTGACTTTAGGATGTGGCTTTCACCAGCATTATTTGGCAGAGAAGGCTGAAAATATACTTCTACAACTCCCATGATTCCACAAACATTCAGGAATGGCAGCCAAAGGGATGTCAAACTGCATTCATTTGGCAGTGTAGATGGGCTCTTCTTGACTTTAGGACGTGGTTTTCTCTCTCTAGCTGAAAATCTACTTCTACAACTCCCATGATTCCATAAGCACTGATGCATGGCAGCCAAAGGGGTGTCAAACTGCTTTCATTCTGCAATGTAGATGGACTCTGCTTGACTTGTGGATGTGGTTTCTTAGAAGACATTGCAAGGCCATTGTGTATTTATTTATTTAAGGAAGAAAAGGCTGATTTCAAAAAAAACTTTGCAAGTTATCTACACCATGGAATTGATGCAGTTTGACATCACTTTGGCTGCCATGCGTCAATGAAGTTGAATCCTGGGATATGCAGTTTGGTGAGGCACTTAAAATTACAGAGAGCCAAAGACCTTGTGCAACTACAATTCCCAGGATTCCATAGCGTGGCAGTTAAAACGACATCAGGCTGCATTAATCCTGCAGTGTAGAGATGAACCCTTGGGATGGCATTTCTTTAACAGCCTGTCTATAAGATCTTTGTCATTTTATATGGCCTTGAGCTAGCCATACTCAGGCTCCTTCCACACAGCTGAATAAAATTCCACATTGTCAGTTTTGGACTGGGATATAGGGCAATGTGGACTCTGATATTCCTGTTCAAAGCAGATATTGTGGGTTTTTCTGCCTTGGCATTCTGGGATATAGGGCTAAGTGGCTGAGGGGGAAAAGGAAGGGGCCTGAGGCAGTTAGGAATGGTGGGAGCTGAAATCCAAAACAACAGGAGGGCCAGAGTTTGCCCATGTCCACTCTAACCTAAGCAAACATGGAGGACTGACTACAATACCACTATGTGGAGATAATACTTTGTAGTGTTTGATATGGTGAGTTTTTTTACTAAAAGTGCTTCAGTTGTGTTTCTTCAAAGCCTGGAAAGGGCTTCCTGCATTGAGCTTGTCACTCATGTGCTGCTTCTCCTTGTTTTGTTCTCTAGGTCTTTACCATTACGGCTTGCCCACTTCTCTCTCTAGCTGAGCCATGGAGACGATGCAAGAGCTGATCCCCTTTGCCAAGGAGATGATGAGCCAGAAGCCCAATGGGAAAATGGTCAAGCTGTACATGCTGGGGAGTGTCTTGACCTTCTTTGGGGTGGTTATCGGCCTGGTGGAGACGGTCTGCAGCCCTTTCACCTCTGAAGGGAGGCCAGAAGATGAGGGGGAAGAGGAGGAAGAGAAGAGACCTGCTTCCCCCTTGACAAAAGAGGACTTTGCTCCTCAGAAACCAGAGGAGGTGATCTTAGAAAAAAGCAAGCAGGAGCTGGCAGTGAGGAATTCAGTGACCAGGCAGCGTGCATCCTAAGGAGACATTGGGTCTGGAGAGAATGAGAACATGTTGGCCTGTGATGTGCAGACGGGCTTCTCTTTTTTGTTCTGATATGGCAGATATACAAACATCCAGAGAACTGTTTCTGTGCAACTGCCAACATAAAGAGACTCCTTATAAACTATGCTGTTTTCTATTTTGCTGCTGTGCAGCAGTTTTACTATGCAGCTGTTTCAATCTCACATACCTGTTCTCTTGGTATGACTGCGCAAAGCTGGTAGCATCTTGTACCTACTTATGTGAGGGGTTATTTTTTTTATTCTGACTATACCACAATTTTGCAAATATTTTACATTTTAAATAAAACTATTTTATACCTGATGCTCATTGATTCCAGTCTAGCTCTTTTTCTTGGGTAAAGGGAGCTTTTTCAGGGGCTCTTTGTGGGTTTGGTGGAGACTACACAGTGAAAAACATCCTTAAGAGTTGAGCCCCCTTTGTTACAAATGTTTCCATGGAAATAAAAGATTTTAAGCCAAGTAAAACCATGTTAAAGCTATGGCAGAGTGTAGGTGTTAATGTGAAGACTGACTTTCTATAAACACCTGCAAGGGTATAATGGGTTCATATATCCAGTTTAAATATAGTAGAGAAACGGGGGTATGGATGTGTTACCAATTTTTACTAACCATTGTTTTGGTACATTAATCATTTATTCCATTATATACAGATTCAATCACAGGCTGAGACATTAAATTGTTTTATAAAACCAGAGGTCTGCACACAAACTGCCATGTGTTCTGAATATGTCTCTAAAGATTAAGGGGACCTGCCCCACTCTCTCCCTCTTTATCTCTGCTTTTTCTTGATTCCTAGCCCCATTCCTAGTCCAAGTAGAGTGAAAACTATGGAGAAATAAATGTCACAGAAGGGTCCTGAGTCCCTAATCACAGTGTTGTGTAGCCCAAAAAGTAGTTTTACAGGCCATTTTGAGCCAGAAACAAATCTAAAAAATAACTCCACCCTTTTGTGACTGAATGAATGAGGCTAGGGGCTGTTTATGCACTGGGAGAATCTCTTATCTCCTTTCCTTTCAAGGAGTAAGAGTTTCATTCATAAGTTTGTGGTTGCAGAAATAGAGTGATTTCAAATTGGGTCCACCTTTTTGAAACCCTCTGAAATAATAGTATTCAGTATGTATCTTCCATAACTAGGAAGCCTCAATTTCTAAAAGCGAGTTCCTGTTATGGAACTGATACCACCTCCTTTAATGTGGCTAGTATTTTCAGAATCACTACTGATGTCATTTTAGGCATTGGAATTTTCTTGATTTTAAATGTTTCCTATACCAAGTGCATATGTCTGAATAGCTTTCTTAAACCCATAATTGATATGGATTGCTTTTGACTATCTGACACAGATGTTGTCACTGGCATTGTGCAGAAAAATGTGCAAGTTTATATCTATGTACTTTTTTTCTTATAATGTGGGAAGGCGGAAGGAAAGTGGAGAGATCATGCAACCCTTCAGATCATCATCACCTATGGTGAGGAATGTTGGGACTTGTAGTGCAAGAATATATGGTTGTTACAGCAGTCCCCCTTCAAGCTAAGTGTGGCGTATAGCAGCTTTATCCTAGAGTTTTTGTGCCAAGATTTATTGAGGAGGTTTGTACTGTATTCCTTTGAGGCTTCCACAGATGAGATTCCACTTATGAGTTCCCATTTGAACCTATGTCTCTCAGAACCCAAGTTCAGTATTCAAACCACTACACAATTTATAAGTTCTGGAGTACTACAAAATCCCCACCTCTGAGTTGGAACATCAAACAGTTTAAAATATTAAAAGGGCAGAGATTCTGAGATTATTTTTAATTAATTTAGTCTCAATTCCCTAGCCAGTGTGACTATTGGTTGGGGATTATGAGAGCTGATTGTCAGCATCATCTGGAAGTAAATATTTGGGGTTGGACTGGGTGGCCCATGAGTTCTCTTCCAACTCTATGATTCTATATTAAGTACTGTTTGCAACATCTACACATTTGTACATTATTGAAAAATCATAAAACCCACCACTTGCCAGTTACTTTAGTGCCTTTGTGTTTCAAAGCAATCATGACTTTCCCAATGCAATATTCTGTCTTTACAGAAGAAAAAAAAGACGGGGCCTCACATCAACTTTGCTACTAGATATAAATAGAAGGTCATAGCGCGGGGCTACATTGTGTTTTTTAGAGATACAATAAAGGTCTCTTGTTCCCACTTGTGGCTGTAAACAGGCGGTGAACAAACTGATGGAGATGGTGGATGTTGCAGAAGAAGCTAGTATCATGACCACTTCACTCCCTCTCCATGGTCACTTTGGATATACGGAATCTTATTTTGAGAAGCAATTTGTATGGTACCATTATCAGCAGATCATCATTATGGACAGAGGTAAAAAAGCAAAGCTGAGAAAGATTACATGAAACCAGCAATTTGCACAAATATACTGTTAACCAATAGGTATTGTTTATTTTGTGGTTCCAGTTTGCATAAGCATTTTGAAACATTCAACTAAATCTGTGATTATTAATTAGATTTAGAGTTTTGGGTTTTTTAGGGGTGCATCTTTATAGACAAATGCAATATTCAGACATCTCAAAGAGTGACTGAGAGTTCTCCTTTGTCAGTGGCAGGTTCCATTGCATAGTCATATTAAACTGGTTCATAGGGCACAGCCATGATACTAGCACAGCATTGAAAGATTCAATAATGGATAAGACTAACAGCTAATATTTATTCAGTGAAGGCAAACAAAACAGTTTTGTTCATGGATTCCTTGGGGGTCAAACTGTCCTTTCCAGTGCTTTTAGCAGAAATGAAGTTCCAGTTAGCCAAGAAAAGAGGGGAAGACTTGAGACAATTTGGTAGCAAGGTAGAAATTAAATCCTCAAGCAAAGGATTTCTTAAAGCTTCTAGTTTTGTTTTGTTGTTGATTTTTTTAAAATCCCATAATAGATAACCTGCCTGGATATGCTGTACTTTACTTGCAATTCAGTATGCTAATAGTTCTGTTCTTACACATGATTTCTTTAACAGAAACATTGATACAAGAGGCAGAAATAACATGGAAAGAATAGGAATAGCTTTCTACACCACAAAAAAGGAACTTTATATTTGAAGCCAGCAATAAGCACATGTGAAATTAAACAGCCAGGCAGATGCATATATAAACAAAACATTTTGAACCACTTGAAACTTTATTTCAAAATTCATTAAGGGAAAGTTTCTATTTCACCATTCTCCAAATGACTTTCATTTCCATGGACAGACTTCTTTAAGAGAAGCTGGTGAGACAAGGTTATCTCCTTTCCATCTTTATCTTTGTTTTTCTGTTCACTCGTGCTCAGTAAGGGATTCTGGAGGCAACAACTGTTCACTCTGTCCATTGTAAACAAGCAGATACAGTTACAGTAAGATTGGCTAGAATATAATTTTATTCTTTCCTAGTTCAAGCAGTGTTTTCTGTAGACAGCTGCATATGTTGCTAAAACCTCCAGGTAGACAGAAAAAGAGAAGGAAAAGATGTCTGGGTGGGCATACAAAGACTTCATGAAAAACAGCTTCCTTCTCAAAAGCTTTGGTTACTGAGGTATAGTTTCATTTGACTGCTATTTCCCCCTGTACTCGTATTAAACTTATTTTTCCCTTCGCCAAGAATCACCTTCACAGTTTTCTTGTACTTTTCATTTGCTTATTTATTTGATTCTATTCTTCCCCTTAACACATAAGAAACTCAAGATCAAAACATAGCTTATACAATAACATTGAAGTCCTTTGGCTCCTTCTGTCATATAATTCAAGTGACCCAAGCCTCTATTATAGAGGTTCCATGGTCAGATCACTGTGCTCTGAGAGTCCGGTTGGAGCATGCCTACCCACCCTGGAAGGGCGCCGAGCCGATTTGGGCTCGCCCAAGGAGACTTATGGAACCCAATAGGTTCCGGAATGCTCTGAGGGATCTGGAGCCTGCCAGGGACTTGATCGATGTGCAGGTGGACACATGGAACATCAGGCTATCCAATGCACTCGACAAGATCGCCCCTAGACGCTCTCTCCGACCCCACCGAAATTGGTCTCCTTGGTTCACCGAGGAACTTCGACTGATGAAGCAGGAAAAGAGACGGCTAGAGGGCGTGTGGCGAGAACTCCATGGCGGAGCATCGAGATCAGCTTATGAGGCATTTAAGGATATGAGCATGGTATCACTGAAGCAAAGTGAGTATATTATGCCTCTTTGATAGCGTCTGCTAGCTCATGCCCGGCAAAATTGTTCAAGATAATTCGATCTTTAACTATGGTCCCTACCGTCCCAAAGAGCGGTGATCAGGCCCCTTCAGCTGAGGTGTTTCAGAGCTATTTTGCAGACAAGATCTCACTACAAAATGCAGCTGCTTGGCTTCTTGCGGGAATTCCGATGAGATGCCACATAACACCAATCTTACTACAGCTGCATTGGTTACCAATTGAGCACCGGATCACTTTCAAAGTGATGGTACTTACCTTTAAGGCCTTGCATGGTCTGGGGCCGATGTACCTGAGGGACCACCTCACCCCCTACCAACCCCAGAGATCCCTCCGTTCTGAGGACCAAGATTTATTGGAAATTCCCAGTGTCAAGACCTTGCATCTAACAGCAACCAGACGCAGAGCCTTTACAGCAGTGGCACCATCACTCTGGAATACTCTGCCACCTGAAGTCTGTGCCTTGCGGAACTTATCAGCTTTCCGCAGGGCATGTAAGATGTATCTGTTTCGGCAGGCCTTTGATCTTTGATATTGCTGTTTTTAAATTGTTTTAAATTGTTTTTAAATTGTGTTAGATTTTAGCCTGTTCTTGTAAGCCGCTCCGAGCCCCAGGGGAGTGGCGGCATATAAGTTTGAATAATAAATAAATAAATAAATAAATAAATAAATAAATAAATAAAATAATGCATTGTTCTGGGCCAGTGTATCCTCTCTTCCCACCCATTTCTCATCCCCAGAATTGCAATTCTCTTTCAATCCTTGAGCAAACAGAGAACTAACTGTGCAATTGTTTTGACTCCAGAATTCTGTTCTTGTTGTATGAGCCCAAGTTGACTTAATGGTGATCCAATCCTCAGGTTTTATCAGTAAGATTGCCACTGCCTTCATCTAATGCTGAGATTGTGTGAATTGTTCAAGGATACCCAGTGCATCTCCATGGCCAAATGGGGATTTAAACTCTAGTATTCTAGTTCTGAGACCACTACACCACAACATTTTATATCAGGCCAGTGATAGCCAGGCTCACATCACACATTCTGTTCAGAATGCATAGTGTCCATCCTATTTTGTCACAAGACCAACATTCTTATT